AATTTATTCCTATGGCAAAGCTGAATTTTCAGCAGCCATTACTCCAGATTTCAGTGTCACATGATCCTTCAGAAATCATTCTAATATGCTGATTTGTTGCTCATTTCTTATCTTTATCATTGTGGAAAACAGTTGTCCTGATCATAATATTCCTGACCCCAAACTTTTGAATGGTAATGTGTCTTAACTTGGAAATCTGACCAAATAAGTCATTAAAAAGATTAATTAAATAAAAAATTTTGGCGGATATTAATCTGTTTATAGCTCATTCATCAATCATCACACAAGACAATGGAAGGTTAATTGGAAGCTTTGCATTTTGGGATACACTGTTCTGCGCAGTATGCTCTGTGTGTACTGCTCCTTTTGGTAAATGTCGTAGGTCATCTGGGAATTCTGTGCATATAAAAAATTGGCACACTGTGAACGTCTCGAGGTTACATATGTAACCATGGTTCCCCGAAGGGAACGAGACGCTGCGTCTAACGCTTTGGGAACGCCCCCGGTGAGACCCCATACTGAAGCATGTGTGAAATCAGTTCAATAGAGAAGCGAGACGTCGTGAGCAGGGTGACGTGAGCAACCAGGAAGCATAAAGGCGCATCCGGCAAACGCACATGTTAGCTTCTGCGGAAGCAAGCGCCTGCAGGGATTATGGCAGGGAGACGCAGTGTCTCGTTCCCTTCGGGGAACCATGGTTACATATGTAACCATGGTTCCCCGAAGGGAACGAGACGCTGCGTCTAACGCTTTGGGAACGCCCCCGGTGAGACCCCATACTGAAGCATGTGTGAAATCAGTTCAATAGAGAAGCGAGACGTCGTGAGCAGGGTGACGTGAGCAACCAGGAAGCATAAAGGCGCATCCGGCAAACGCACATGTTAGCTTCTGCGGAAGCAAGCGCCTGCAGGGATTATGGCAGGGAGACGCAGTGTCTCGTTCCCTTCGGGGAACCATGGTTACATACGTAACCTCGAGACATTCCCCTTCAGGAACTCGAGCTGCGTCGAAAGCTTTGGGAATGAGAATACCCACTGCACCATACGAGCATGTTCCGAACTCCAGGCACGACACTGCGAGTGCCTGAAGGTCCCCTATCCTCTTCAGCAAGGATATAGCAAGGAGGAAGACTGTCTTCAGCGTGAGTAGCTTGTCAGAGACATCTTCAATGGGTTCGAAAGGAGCATTGCACAAAGCCTCCAGAACCACCGCCAGGTCCCATGAGGGCATCTTGGTGCACTGTACTGGCCTCAGCCTCCGGGTGCCACAGAGGAAACATGTAAGTAACGGGTGCTTCCCCAATGATTGACCACCCAGAAGGGCGTGGTAAGCAGCTATGGCCGTCACATAAACTTTCAGAGTGGAGGGGGATTATCCTGCGGAGAAACGCTCCTGAGGAAACTCCAGAACTACCAACTGGGTAGTCACAGTCGGTCTTGCAGTCGCTGTCGCTTCCACTTCAAGGCATACAGTTTCTTCGTGGCAGGAGCTCTGGACTGGAGTATGGTCTCAACAACCTCAGTTGAGAGACCGGATGCTATGAGCTGTGCCCCCACAACTTCCATAACTCCGGGCGGGGATGAAGATTGCTGGGGCTCACAGAAGGGCTGGATGCGTGAGAGAGAACCAGAGCGGACAGTGTGTCGTGTCCTGTAATGTGAATAGATCCACTTCCACCTGGCCAAACTCCCTCCAAAGGAGGTCCCCACTTCTGGGTGGAGCCTCCATTCCCCGGGCCTCAGCCCCTGTCTCGACTGGATGTCTGCTCCCTGACTGAGATACCCAGGGATGTAGACTGCTCTTAGTGAGAGGAACTTTCCCTGAGCCCACAGGAGGATCTGGTGCACTAGCCTATAAAGGGGGCATGAGCGCAGACCACCCTCCCGGTTGATGTAGGAGACCACCGATGTGTTGTTTGTGCGGACAAGCACATGATGTCCCCTTAGGTCTGGAAGGAAGTGTTTTAGAGCTCGAAACACGGCCAACATCTCCATACAGTTGATGTGCCACATGAGATAATGGCCTTCCCACAGACCTTGGGCAGAGCGGCCACTCATGACCGCTCCCTAGCCCGTGAGGGAGGCGTCCGTCGTTACACAACGACAAGGAACCCCCAGCAACAGGCCTTGAGACAGGAACCAAAGTTTCTTCCACATGTCTAAGGCACATAAGCATTGCTACGTGACCTTGATCGTGCGACGCAGTTTCCACCTCGGGGAAAACCCCTTTGTTCTGAGCCACCACTGCAAGGGTCTCATGTACAGCAGGCCAAAAGGTATCACGTTGGACGCAGCTGCCATCAGACCCAACAGTCTCTGAAACTGTTTGACAGTGAGTGACTGGCCTTCCCTCACTCCCCTCATGGCTGTGAGAATCACTTTGATACGAGCAGGAGACAACTATGCCTGCATCGTTGTCGAATCCCACACCACGCCCAGATAAATGGTTCTCTGTAGCGGAGAAAGCACACTTTTCTTGACGTTTAGCTGTAACCCCAGCTCTTTCATATAGGCGAGGACGACATCTCGATGCCGAGCCGCCATCTGCTCTGACTGATCTAATATCAACCAATTGTCGATGTAATTGAGTATGCGGATGCCCAGGAGTTGCAACGGAGCCAGGCCAGCATCCATACACTTCGTGAAAGACAGGCCAAACGGAAAAACCCGATACTGGTATGCTTCGCCCCCGAAAGCAAACCTCAGGAACTTCCTGTGTTGAGGAAGGATGGATACATGGAAGTATGCGTCCTTGAGATCTATCGTGACAAACCAGTTCAACAAACCAGTTCAAAATGACAACACGTTCTATGGCCTCCTTCCTCAAGAGAGTTCCTACTTCTTGTTCCAATACCAGAGCCTGCTCAGGGCCCACTAATGTAGGAATAACCCCATTGAAGCGAGGTGGACGAGAACCGAACTGAATTCTGTAACCTCTCTCTACAGTGTGCAGGACCCATTGTGAGACATTTGGCAGAAGCTTTCATGCTGTCAGAAAGTCTACTAAGGGAACCAGTCTCTCGAGACTGGCCTCTGGTGTCACTAGAGGAGCCACTTCGGTGCCCTGAAGTGGTTGACCAGCAGGGAATGACCGACCTGACTGCTCTAGCGCCCTCATCTGAGGGGGCGAGCTTTCCCGTGCCGTACCATCGCCGGGCGACAGCTGGGAAATTTGCTTGTGGTAGCCCACTGAGCCCTGAAGCACTGGGGGTGGCAGGGGTATCAGTGAAGCTCCCTGAGGGCACTGAGGGGGATCAGGCACGATATACTGAGGTGTGTACCTCTCCTCCCCAGGGTGGGCTGCCCTCAGGCTCCTGACGGTGAAATTGTCAGGACCGCTTGGCCGAGGTCCTCTTGGACATAATAATGGTCCGCAGATCCGTTTTCTGTTCAGTGGACCCGACCGACCCACCCCCTGATCTTTCTGCTGGGTACAGGTCACGACACTCTGCTTGCGTGCATGCTCCACTCCCAAACAGACGATGCACAAATCGTGTGTATCCCCACCCGTGAGATAGCGTGGGCAGGGAGGAACACACGACTTGAAACGCCATCCGTTCGCCACAGATTTTCTTTTACACTTAGGCATTTTGAACTCGCTTTCTATACAGAGTAATTCCTGACTGACTGAGTGCTTTTTTGCATACACAGACACACAGACGCGCTCACTGAAGAGCAGAAGCTAACATGTACGTTTGCTGGATGCGCCTTTATGCTTCCTGGTTGCTCACGTCACCCCGCTCGTGACGTCTCGCTTCTCTATTGGACTGATTTCACACATGCTTCAGTATGGGGACTCGCCGGGGGCATTCCCAAAGTGTTCAACGCAGCTCGAGTTCCTGAAGGGGAACAGTATACACTGGGTAATAGACATCCATATTATTGGTTAGTATGGACCCATAGAATGTAGTATATTGATGTTAAAATCTTGAGTATAGTTGCAAACTGGGTTTTTTTGTTCTGCTTAATCAAAAGCGGTGATACTATGTAAAAAAAATGGTTTTGTAGAAACAGTCTTACTGACCAGATGAGAGTGAGTTTCTCCTGCAGAGATTTGTTTTCTCTTAAGGTTTTATCCTCCTCCTATCTACTGTATACCATGTTAGGAACTGTCAAGGCTCTGATCTATTGTAGAGCTCTTTTGAAACGGTATTGTGAAGAGTGCTACAGAAATACCTGTACCTTGAATTGAACTATACAGTAGTTTTAATTTGCACACTTTGTGATTTTAACGTTGGTTTAGTCTCGCACAGCCAACAATGAACACATTCCTAATCATATTCCACATTAGCTTGTCATTGCAGTATAACGGTGCCCTTAACCTCCCTTAGAACTTCAAAAAAATCCATTATTTCATAGTGCATGGTGTGTGTGTGTATCTGTAGGCATGTGTGTGCATACATCCATGCAAGTGTGTGTGTGTGTGTGTGTGTGAATGCACCAAGACTGCTTTGTTTTCCAATTCTCCGCAGGTAAATAAATATTCCCTGTGTGCATTGTAGAGGAGCCGGAACCATAGAAATGGATATTTGATTTATTCCAGAAAGAGCCAAGCTCTTTGGCTTGAGTGCTTGCAAACAATATGTTTGGGTGGAAAGCCGGCACCCAGCAACAGCACAGCATCACAGATGTCTTCTCAAAATCACATGACTCATTCCAGCCCTGGCAGACCTCTAAGTGTCCTGTCCGTTCTCTGGCCACATGGGCGAGTGTCGTTCCTTAACCTGTATGGGTCGCTAATGCCAGCTATGTTGCTGTTCATTTCTGACTCTTTTGTATAAATTATAAATATATAAATAGGTATTTTCTAGGTTTTTATTGTTGTTGTTGTATTTAGAGTAGACCTGTTGAAGAGTCTGTTAAAGTAAGACATTTTCTATTCAAGTCTAACACTGTCAGAGAGACAGACCCTCATACACCCTACCATAAACTTGTTTTTGTTAAACTTAGCCAATGTGTTCTCTACTAACCGTGTGTTTCTGTGTGTGCTTCTTTCCCCAGTGTCTGTACGGCTGTTACGTCCACTCCTCCATCATCCCCACCTTCCACCGCAGGTGCTACTGGCTTTTACAGGTAAGACTGCCAGAGACTTGGACACCTGTTAGGAACTCAGTTACCTATTGTTATTTTTCTGAAGCCATCATATATTTTCTTCTTCCCCTCTTCGTTTGGAGCTAAGCAGCACACCTTCAAGTGTAATTCAGCTGTAATGGAGACAGGCAGGGAGATTAAACGTAACCCCTCAGCCCGCTGGAGCCTGAGCTCACCGACTGATCAAAGCTAACCTCGAAACTACAGCCCAGCACAGGGAGAGGTCTAGGGAGGAATCGCATGCAGATGAAGCCTTTAAAAGAGCACAGAAGATAGATATTCATGCTTTTAGGACATATACTAGGGATGGACTCAGAAGTGACAGCAACCATCGATCATGAAACACAACAGTTGCACAACTTCAAACTAAAAACATTTCACTCTGATCAGAAAGCAATTTGATTCAATAAACTGGATTAGTATTACATTTTTAATTAAAAAGCCAGCACAAACAATTTGGGTCAAATCACTAGCCGAAAATTTCAAACCCTAAATTTAAACGATTTGACTTAGCAGTCACTAATTAAAGTTAAAAACACTGTTTTCTAGGGGTTACTGTGGTACAAAATGCTCTTAATTGGAAGAACATTATTACTGGCTTTGAAAAGAGGAAAGTAAAAGCTTGTGAAGCAAGATTTCCATTTTCTCAGAAATATTATTCTCAGTCTCTCCCCATGTTTTCTCAGTATCCTCTGAGCTGACTCATGTTCTGCTTCACTGCTGCTTCAGGTGATCAGAGTCTGTGTCCAGGATAGAGCAGGTTGTTCCAGCATGACTTTGTCTTACACATATGGTATCAGTCTCCGGGGCTTGGCAGCACCCTCACTGTGTCCCAGTAGTCTCAGCTTCAGACGGACCGCCCAGTGTCCGCTCGTTGACTGGATGATACATATTGCATAAAAACCTCATCAGTTTTGCCAGGCTTGTCATCAAAAAAAGATATTTAGAGTTTTGTTTGAGCTGCTGCTTTATTTAGTAAGTTCACTATGAGCTCAACTGTACTGTATGTCCAATGCACATCCATTTTGCCAAATTGCATGACTGTTCAAAAGTTTGGGTTAGTCTTTTTTTTTATTATTACTTTTATTCAGCAAGGACACTTTAAATTGATAAAAAAATCTATTTCAAATAAATGTTGCTCTTTTGAACTTTCTATTTATCAAAGAAACACAAAAATATACATTTGAACAGCTGTTTATAGTTTCTTAAAAATAAAGTTTCTTGAGCACCGAATCAGCATGTTCGAAATATTTCTGAAGGATCACGTGACACTGAATACTGAAGTAATGGCTGCTGAAAATTCAGCTTTGCCATCACAGGAATAAATTACATTTTAAAATATGTATATTCAAATAGAAAAGTTGTTTTAAATTGTGACAGTGTTTCACAATATTACTGTTTTTGATCAAATAAATGCATCCTTGGTGAGCATATAGGTAATTATTGCAAAAACATTTTTAAAAATCTTACCAACCCCAAACTTTTGAGCATAAGTGTAAATATGAAACAAACTCATGGTGATCATTTTACATATGAGTGGGCCTCTATTCTGGCACCTAAGCCAGATTTAGATGCTAATGTGGACCAGACCTGTTTTTTGTTTTTGTCAGAATTCTGTCTATGCAACACTTTCATCCCAGAGTGCAGATTCACAAAGTTGCATGGCCACTAAAAACGCACATAACCCAATCCAAGCACAGTCAAGCCTCAAACGATGACACAAAACTACATTTTCAGGGAATGTGATCACAGAAAGAGAGCGAAAGAAGAGGGAAGCGAACAGAGAGCAAAGAGACTGCAAGTGTGGCTGTCTTTTTATCCAGTCCAGATCTTCTTTATTGAGAAAAGTCTCAGTAATAAGACAGGGGAGGAGAGGAGGTAATGAGAAAAGAAGCCTATGAGGAATCTCGGCACTCCTTCCCTCTAAAACACTTTTCCCTCAGATAGTGCCTCATTCTTCCAGGCATGTCTCGGTGGTATTGCGCAGCTCTGCTCTTCTCGCTCTGCATAACGGCAGAGATCTGCTGAGGGGACGTATTATCGCCAATTTACCCAGAATGCTTTGCACCTCGTTGGCCCTTCTGAAAAGTTCTCACTCACGCAGAATAGACTGTCTGGGAGAGGGAATGACTGTTTGGAGATTTGAGGTGTTAAGGGCATATTATCTCTCTCTCTCTCTCTCTCTCTCTCTCTCTCTCTCTCT